AGAAGCAAATAGCTGGGTGTCATATGGGGAAGAGAAGGCTGAGGATGGAAAGTTTTTTTTTTCCTTTTTGGTGGGGGGTGAGAGGTCTATGTGGCAGGAAAGTAAAAAAATAGCGCCATGGGTTTGATGAAGGGCTAAAATTAAGTGTACATGTGACATATGCCTAACAAACAAAGCTAGGCACGGAGAAAAAGGCACGAGGGAGATATGAACTGTATGATCAAAGTAGACAAACAGAAAATGGATGAGGACAGAGAGGGAGGCCTTGCTGCAGCGAGTTACGAATGAGCTGTGGTGGTCTAAAAGGGACTCGTGCTGTTTGATCTTCCTCCAATTTCAGCCTCATCTGCTGCGCCTCTGAAAAACTGAGACAAATGACTGATGACCAGATGCTGAAGCTAAACATCCAATTCATCAACCGTCTAAAACAGGATGCACTTCACAATTCATGACACTTTTTTAGACATGGTGTCAAACTAAAAGCTGAATGTTAGCTCCGTTTTGTGTAAATGGGACGTCTAAATTATTCAAGGCCAATTGACATTTTATTGCCATGAAGAGCAGAATAATGTCAGCTGTAGCCCGGGGGTTGCAGCGGTTTTATTTTTCCCTCTCTACTCTGCTGAGCTATATCTGGATGACTTCCTCAGAGCCTGTCAAGTGCACTCATATTACCCAGTGCAGAGAAAGTACGCCATCTAGTGCACCAGCATGGAGGCTCTCAAAGAAGAGGGACATCGATCACTGTGTGCATCAGCTCCATGGCGAGATGAAGTTATGCATCACAAGGGTAATAAGAAGATGATCACTGTGGTGTAACCACCATGTCAAATAAGTTGTTTTGAGTCTAGCTTATGCTCATTTTCTCTAACTTTTGGCAAAGGAGAAAATCATACCATTCTAGTGAGCTCAGCAAAGCAAGTCAACCAATTATTGTTATGTCAAATATCTGATAATGAGATGAGGAAAAATTTATCTATTAAATACATTGGTTTAAAGGTTGCATTTTCAGTATACAAATTTGTTTTATTGGTTAAGAGATTGAAAATTAGGACACCTTCTCACATCTCAAATTAGGTCCAACGAAAGGTCTTCAGAATCAGTAAAGCTTCAATGAATTTAGAGCCTTTGTTGATAAGAATTCATGAGATTTCATATTGTTCATAAAAAAGCTAAGTATAAAGCTGAATTCAAGTTTACAAATGACTCACTGGTCATGGAACATTGCTAATTATTGTTAGTTCTCACATGTTACCAAAATCAGTCTTCAGGGTCATTTTTTCATATCGATTGTTAAAAACTGCCCCAAACAAAGATTTTACAGTCTGAACCTATCACTTATTAACTTCTGTCAATGTTGTGAAGACAAAATGTCTTACCACAAAGTACAAAATGGGAAAACATTTCCAAGAATCGCTTATAATTCAGCATTGAGATTATATTTTAGGGTTAAAACCTTCATACATTCTTTTTTCAGGGATCTTAAACCTCTCTTCAAAGATATGCTTGTGCCTAGATATAAGGCCTTGGTTGATTTTTGTCAGTACCTCTGAATATACTGCTAATGCAGACTTAGATTCCTCATTATTGGACCAGAACAGTTTGATTATGTTTGAACAGAAGTCTAAGAGTCAATAAGATCACTTGTCTGTTACAATTACATTTGAATTTCAACCTCTGGAAAATATACAGTAGACATAAAAAATGAAGGTGTAATGATTGTACCTGAATTGATAATATGCTGTTAGACCTACAGAGTGACTGTGACAAAAAAAAGTATAAACACAACACATAGAATAATAAACAAAAGTGAATCTTAAGTACAACTTCTTACTAATGGCTCCATTTCACCAAATCCATAGAGAAGAGTGGAGGATTTGCTGCGTATTGTATAATAGCTCTGGTCAGAGACAGGTTACTGAGCCGATGAAAAGCTATCTGAAATGATAATGTTGGATGCGCTCAGTCACTGCGCCTCACCCAGCCATGATCAGCCATGTGGGGGCTGCTTTAATTAAAGGGTGTATTGATTAGACTTTGCTCTTCTGGGTCCCGTGGACCGTGAGCCAGAGGCGCAGGGGAGGGGCGGTCACCCTCAGAGTCATTCAAATCAACTCAGAGCCATGAGAGCAATGTCTATGCTAATGGGTATGGTAATGTGTCCCCCAGTTTAAGTCGATTATTGACACTTTCCCTAAATGGACGGTTGATCCACAATTGAAGCTTTATGAGAAGGTGTCAATGTGAGATTGATACCAGGGCATGAGGTCAGTTTCATTTCAACTCCACCGGTTTCTGGTAATGAATTGGGCATTACGAAGTTAATTGAAATATTAATTGGAAAGTAAATGACGGTTCCATGTGGGATTTCCGTTCGTTCCCTTGATATTAAACAGAAATATACAATGTCCATGCACAGAGGCCCAGGGGAATAGGTCAGAGAACCTCATTTGTTGAGGAACAACCTTTCCTTGGTTTCATCTAAAGAACAGTGCACAACAAGTGTGTGCAGGTCTAAAGAAAAAAACACCATTAAAGCATGATACTGAAAACTAAAAATCAGGATGATACTTGCTGCAGCACATTTGAGCGAGAGGGAAACATTAATAACTTTCAATGTGTTGGTTCTGGGAATAAAGCATAACATCCTGCAATCATTCTGGGAAAGGTCAGCATATTGATCGGTATGTATGGCTCCACTGTTACGTATCAAATATATATTTGCTCCTCCCAGTGCTTATTTAGCTCTGGGACTCTCCTGTTCTGCACTTTGCAAGACTACATTTTCAGGTAGTCATTCCCCCGCCACACTAGGGCTTCTTCATATTCTCAGCTCACACCCTGGCATATCTGGTCTTTCTTTTTTTTTTAGACTTTAGATTGTTTGTTTTTTCAGTTGGAATGAACATAAAGAGGCACTAATCTCTGTAGTTTGTTTTAATTGATTTATCAGTAATACTCTTCCACGTTGTAGTCTTTTTTTCTTTCTGTTAAAAAAAGAGAAGTAAACACATATAAATATCCATCTGATGAGGGGGCCTGATTACTGTTGTCATTTAAGTGTTTTGAACATTACAGACAAATTGAGTCTTTGCATCTAGGTGTGCTTCAGGTGGTGTACTGCAGATTGTTGTGCACCCTAACCCAGGCTCTGTATCAATTCTGATAGACAGGTTAAGAAGAACTCACAGAGGATGCAACCGCTATCTTTGGTGTGTGACTCATTCGGCAGTAGGTGTAATGGTGAGACCACTAAGTTGTACTTTGAGGTAAAAGGGTTAAGTTTCCATAGCCTTTGTGATCTCAAGCTCTGTGTAAGGTGTTGAGTTTGGGCTCTGTAAAACAATTTATGCCGCTTTTCTGAGGTGTGCACGTGTTTAGTTTGTATTCGCACACGCTTGACTTCATGTCCACATATGGTCTCTCAACAATGTGCTTCTTGTTCCAATTCTCGATCAATATATAGGATGAGGATATGAGAGTAGGTATTGATTGTAATTTTCTGCCATGCCACGCTCCACTCTTGCTTTATTAGGAGACTAATTTCCTATCTGCTTTGCCATCAGCCAACCAACAGCCCTGGCTGCTGCCCAGGACAACAGCTAATGAATGAAGGAGGAATAGAGGAATGAATAATCCAGCCAAGCATTTCCCCTCAGATGCATGGGTTGCCACAGGGATGATAATGATGAGTCTTGGATATCTGGTGTGGGGAAAAATGTACGTTTGTATTTCATGGACTTTCATACTGCACTAGTGGAGACGAGCCATTATGTACCTGTATGCTTGTGTCTATCATTGTTTATTGTTATGAGTTTGTGTGCTCTCAACTCCATTTACTTGTTTTAGACACAGTGATCTCCCAGCCAATGTTCCACTCTTTTTATCGACAAGGGATTTAGGCATTCATCGGTGCAGTCATTGTAGTTTCTTTATTTAGTTTAGTTTTTATGTCTGAGTTGTCAAGAATGTAAAGCCAACATCTGTACTTTTGTAGTTTGACCAATGAAACAGTTTATTTTTCTGGAGAGGAAATCATGATCCACTATCTGAGATGTATCAGTCAATGTCCCTGTTACATAATCATCATCATCACCATCATCATCATCATCGTATACAAGTTGTACAGCAGTACACAGGTTTATCCTCACCATGCCCTTTGGCGTGTGTGAGCCTCCTACTCTCTCCCTTTAGTATGTCTAATTTACTCACAATTTTAACACTTGACCTGTCCTCAATTTACACTCTAATTTGTTCCACTGTTCTGTGCCTTGGCCTGACAGACTAGTAAAATGCTGCACAAATGCGATGGCCTTTCAGTGAGATATTCATGCCCACAATTTCCTGTGTGTACTCATAGTGCTTCATCACTCATCTACCCATAAAGTTTCTGCCACTTTAAACGTGGTATCAAATAAAACTGTCGGACTGTACCATCTGTTTCATCAAAGACCATGTGGAAACCCACAAGGGTTTTTCAAGTTTTATGCAAATGAAAGACACAAACAGGGACTAACTCTGAAGAAAAAAGAGTGTAAACTGGATTTCAATTTTTTTTTTCTCTGCTTTATATTAAAGTTTGCAAACCTGGAACAAACATAGCCATGTACTAACCAAAATATAGCTTATTCTTTAAATTATTTGTTCCAATTATTGTTCTCAGTACCGTGTGTGAGGGATTACATTTAAGTTTTCCACATTTCAGAGTTTAATTTCACATTTAAAACTATATAAAATGTCACTGACTTTTGAAATAGAAAAGTTTAATGGCTTATGGAGTAAACACAGTGGAAAGTGATGACGCTCTGCATTTAAGTGTATATACATAGCAAGGAATGTTTACACATCTACGTGTTGCATTGTGGGCAGGCTTGTGGTGAATGGACTGAATCGCACTTTAACTTGTCAGTAAACTCATAGTTTCCTCTCCCCACAGTGTGGCTGCAAAGAATATCCCCCTCATGATGGGTTATGGGTGGGGTGGGGGGGAGCTTGCATTATTTAAGAGCTGAGATCAACGCTTAAATGCTCAGAAAGACAGAAAGAACTTCTTGAAACATACACTCTGTACCTGCTGTGAAAGAGGTACTGGTTTGGATCTGTGCCCTGCTTTCTTTTTATCCTTGTTGAGAGATAACTAAGTAAGCGTTACAGAGTGTGTGCTGAAAAATTTGAAACTCGACCATAGAAGAAGAAAACGTATCTGAAGATGCAGAGTGGCCTGGTTCTAGCCACACTTTTGTGTATCATCACATGGATTAACGTGGTTCACACAGGTGAGTACCAAAACATATAAATGGGTCAAATTAAGTGTCATATCTGATTACTAATCAGGGCAAAATTAATGAAAATTTTTCTGTGCCATCTTTTTAGTCAATGGACCTGTACAGAACTGTCTATGTCAAAAATGGTCCAAAACCAGAGTCCGTCCTGAAAATGTGCAGAGCTACACCATTCAGAAGGAAGGTGCCTGTCCCATCAAAGCAATAATGTAAGTGGTCTGTTTTGAAATGTCTGAATAAAGTACAATATCTAAAGGTACTACTGAATGAATGGAATGCTGTTTTAAAATTGCAAATCCAAAACCAAAGTCCAGTCATGCAGATGGTTCTGTTTTATCCAGATATATTGTGATCTGCCATCTCACAATTAAAATAGGGGGGATGAAAATTTCACATATTTTGCTGCTCAATACCCTACAGCTCCGTATTTCTAATGGTTAGTAAGTTTTCCATCCAAAAAGGTCCCAGCCATCCTTCATTTAAAGAAATAAAACTAAGTAATTTAGTTGTTTGTGCTGCATTGCACTACATGCATATCTTTCTATAGGTCAACCCATCTGCAAGTATAGATTTTGATGAAATCAAGGAAATATTGTTTTGTTTCTACATTGAGTAAACCCACCCAGAAAATGATATAAACAATGGTGAAACTGCATTATGATGCCATTAACAAGTCACAATCCATTTCAGGTTCAAGACAGTCAAAGGAAAGATAATTTGCTCCAATCCTGACAGCAAATCCGCAAAAAAAATCAAGAGGAAGGTGGACTTAAAGACAAAAGCTAAATGGGAGGAGAAGCAGAGGGAAGAAGAATCATCAACTTACATGACAGCAACTGAGTCCTTGGTATCTACAAAATCATCCCCAACGAGAGCCAGAACCATGAAGATTCAACGCTGGAAAAGATCAAGGCAACTGAAGAGGTGGCAGAGAAATCGGGCCTGAGAAAATGCTAAATTAAATCAGTTTTTACCACATATTCAAACGTTAATTCATTAGCTTTTACTAACATTAGCTTTCCCACCTTACTGTATCCCAGGGTACCACATCTTCCACAAAAAACAGATTTGCCTGCAATATGTATTTAAATACAAGTAAACATTTTGCTATTGTAAATATATGTATAAAAAATATATACAGTATATATATATTTCAATGTTTCCCACTGTAATTTTGCCAATAAATGACTTTTCAGCAATAATGTTTTTTTGTGTGTGTGTTATTGTTAGGGTTAACCCTTTGCAAATAAACAGCAAACTGAATCAGAATAGACAAAGTACGTAGATTTGTTTAAGCCGTCAACTGCTTTGTGTCCATTCACTGACAGACTTTAAACAGAGACAAGCTGAGACACACATCTGACAAAAATGACAAAAGTAACATATCTGCATTAATACAAATATCATATTGCCAATTATAAAATATAGAGAATGGGTCATTTTAAATCAAAGCAACAAAAAGATCACTCAGGCAGAAAGCCTGTCCAAGACATGTCCAATTAGGAAAACGTCTTTGATCAAAATCTCTTATAGGTAACAACGTGTTGTTAGTAGTGCATGTGGTCTATTGTCATGTACAAGTTAATGTTGAATACATTAATTGTATTTATATGGAAGCTTATTTTTCATGTTAAGTTATGCTTATCCAGATTGCCTGGCAAAGGATCCATCTAATCATCTGACCGTAGTCCTAACATGCTCTTTGATCTAGCCTTAATGCGCAACAAACGTGGCCAATGGATGCAAATATGACAGCAATAACACAATATACCTAGCTAAAATAATTTTAGATGACTATTTTCCTATTTCTACAGATAAAGGGAAAGTTTTGTTAAGTTGTTCACTCGGGAGGTTAGTCCAAGCTGAGTTGGACATTTGATTATTGCCAATCTTGCTTATTTAGCTTTTCTTGTTTGTTTTTTTCACTCTTTTAACTTTAAAAATAGTTGAATAAGACGGATCTCATCAGGAGTAATTAGATCATTCCACTAATCGTGAGATTAACAAGTAGGCATTGCACCCAAATGTGTGCCTAGTTATGTTTATTTTCCAAAAGGTTCTACCAAAGTAAACAATTTCTGACACATCAAGATATATTCAGTTGTCTTTTTTTCATAAGTCATGTGTCGTGGGTTTTATAATTGACAATACAGATGCTGTTTATAGATTTAACTTCTTAAAACTACTCTTGACAGTGGAGAGATTCGATAGTTTGGAGTAGAAACGGACTGAGATCCAATTTGGTTGATCCTACAGTTTGAGTGGAGGAGCATCATGATAGGCTCAGAATTTAACACCTCTCTACACAGTGCACAGTCTCAAAATACTCAGGAATACAATATGACATCTAGACAAATCAAACCGTAGGTCCATAATACTACTATATACCAAACAACTGTTTCTTTTCTTTTTTTTGTCCCTCTTTTGTCCATTTCTTCTCTGAGGGCTTTTCAACTTTAACCTGCTGCTACCATTTTTGAGACCTGGAAAAGGATCGGAATGGAGTTATGAATTCCATTTTGACTGGACATGGTACATCTGGTACATCTAGTAATGAAGCACAGTAGTGGCAAAATCAACCTCAAGAAGCCAACTTCCTTATTACCACTACCTGTATACCAAGAACAGTCGTCAAGCTATGCCCTTAGGTCAGGCATTAAAACAACTGATAAAGTCAGAGGTACAGTTGTTTTAGCTGAAATACGTCTATTCAATATGCTAGTTAATAAAATCCTTGAAAATTGCCAGCAAGGAATCATCAATAATATGTCAGATCAGCTAGCATATGCCATGTCCCAGCAAAACTCTTACTCTTCAAAGCAGAACCAATCAACTGAGCCAACAAAAAGAGCATTCAGTCTTATCCAGGCTCACATTAGCAGTTAACAAGGCACACAAACCATTTCATGTTAGAGAAAATTGTATTTCTCAGAAAAAAATGCCATGTTGTACGGTAATTCAATTGTTTTAAAAACGGTAGTACGTAGTAAGTGAACCGCTTGTTGTTGCACAGAGTACTGTGTGTTTGCCCAATCTTGTAAACAGGCTGATGATGAGGGGATGATAAAGCTAGTGATGGCTGTGCTGAGATAACAATCAGTCAGTTGGTTGTCACTGCTACTGTAGTCAGTCAGTGCAGGGTTTCTGAAAATTTAGCAGAGAACCAGACAGTTTTTCTGCGTAGAGACCTGTCAGTGTCAGAATATGAGCATCACAACATCTGTTTAGCCTTTTAGCTGTTTGTAGGTCAACGTGCCAGGCAATTTATTAGGGTCAGTGAAATAGTTTCAGATCAACTGTGGATCAGATGACGTCCGTAAAGGTGCTAAAATGGATATTTGCTATTATTTTGTGGTTAGACATTTGTCAGATTCTACTCCCTTTCTGTTTCTGGGCTGTGCATGGTTTTTATCAGAAAAGTGGTCTACTCTTCTACATCTATAACCACATCCTGATGACAGAGTTGTGACCATGTTGTATGAGCGTGTTTATGGTGATCGAACAGAAATAGGGGGGCTGTTTCCTCTATTCTGAGAATTTTAAATACATACTGATAAAATGTTTTAGTGTTAATGCAACTCAAAACCTCCATGACAAAAACTTTCACCTACTAACATCTCCATTTTTAAAAACAGTACAGGCCTACCCATTAAAACAGCGTGTAAAAGACAAAAATACACACACAATTTCTGAAAACAAATACACCAGTGAAACCACAGTGAAATCATACCACAATTACAGGTACATACGAAAAACAATCTAAATCTGATAAGCGTGTGTTTTTTAACATCATTTTGTGTTGAATGTCAACTTTCTGTAAGCATCAAACCTCTGACATTAATTATTTAACAGTTGGAAATTTGGAAATAATTTAATATGCCATCTGTTCCTGTTGCATGTTCAGGTTCATCGTGCATCAAAATTTTATTGCGGATGACATGGATGGGTCACAAGCAGTCTGGTTTTGCACCCAACATTCTCTAACTGTAAAGTGTAGCAGATGGAATATGCATGAGATGTATTTTGCTATTGTTCAGCTTAACCAAATTACATTCTTTTTTAAATAGACATCAAATATGAAACTAGAAATGTATTAAATGTAGTTAGTCTGTTTATTGAAAATAATCAAGACACAGACTGTAACAATCACTGACAGACTGATAAAAAACTATCTCCAATAACGCTCCTGCACAGTTGCGTTGCGGGAAGCACTGTTGCCTCACATCGAGAAGGTTCTAGGTTTTGTGGTGAATTACGGGATGATCGTCTTCAAATAGCTCAAGTGAAAGTGCTGCAGGAAAAACTCTGCTGAGGCAGACTTGGTCAAACAAAGAGGATTTACAGGAAAATCAGGAAGTGCAGATTGATGCATCAATACTGGAGAGGTCTTATCGCCCGATGTCTGAGAAAATTCTGCCTAACTCTGGGTGTGCCTGCCCTTATATTTGGTCATCCCGTATCCGTGCTTTTTGTCTTAGACCAGGCTGTTTCCATCCAGACGAGTAGCCAGAATGTAGTTTATCCATAGCATAAACTTTTACGTTTCGTCTTCCGCCAGGCCGTCTCCGAGCAGCTGGACTAAAGTGTATCTATACCATGAACATCCTCCCTACACTCTACTTTAGTAATGTGTTCCCCAAACGTTTATGCTCTACGAACAGAAGAGTCTGGGCTCTTAACTGTGAGCTTCAGACACTACAGTTTGAATCCCTGGGGACCAGGGACCTTTCTGTGTACAGTTTGCACGTAATTCCCATGTACGAGTTGGTTTTGCGATGCCCTCACTTCCTTCTACAGTCCAAAAACATGCATTTTAGGTTAATTGCCTGTAGGATTGTTGTCCTTGTGTAGCCCTGTGATGAACAGCAACCTGTCCAGTGTGTACTCTGCCTCGCTCCTGGTGAGGAAGATATTGATTTAAAAAAAATAGAAACCTCAATGCAGCTGGATTATTGGTTTTAATAATATGATTCTTTTTTCATAAGTAAGATCTATAAGAAATTGTTTTCCTCGTTATTCTTAACAAGGCTCAGCTCAAAACATCCCTGTTAATGTAATTCGTGTAGATGTCAGATGTGTAAAAAAAAATTAAACCTGGCACCCTTGTTTCTGACAAATTTAAGGTCTTATGGTTTGCAGATACATTATCAGATTAAGTTTTGGATGACATAGAAATCATTGTCCAAACTGCGGATATGAGAGGGCTTTGCATATACAACCAAAGGATGGAGTATATAAAGAGATGATACGTGGAAACGTTATAGCCACATATAATTAACATTTTGGGGATATATGCCAATCCTAACCTAAAACTCCAACATTTTGCAGGTTTGAATGTGTTTCACAAGCATCACATTTTGGTGATATATCCCGAACAAATGTGTTTTTCTATACACACGTATACATTTCCCTGGTGTATGTATGTGCTAAAGGAAAGTAATGAATTCTGATCAACCTATTATGCTATTTATTGCCAGCCTAACCAGTAGGAAAATCTTACGTGTTTACTCTTCTTGTAACTCCATCTTGGTGTATGATTTGCCAGTATTGGGTAAGACCAGAATGCAAAACTGGAACTCTCAGACAACAGATCTTTCCTATTTTTAATGGCTATGAACATGCATACTCTGCTTGCTCTGTGAGCCAGCCCACAATACAATCAGTTATAGTGATTTAATACAACAATGTTAGCTAAGCAGTCTAATTGGTTGTCTAGCCCTTCTCTTGTTTAACACCAAGCAGATAGTGATGGTGCAGAGATGCAAAGAGTCAGCAATCACAGTGATTATCTCAAATAACCCCAATGTGGTGATGAGCATTTAGCAGAAATCACGACATCTCGACATCTGTCTTCTTTAGAAAAATAATAGCAAAAGAGTACAGTTGAAAGTTACTTTCAATGCATTTCTTCTTTTCTTCAAAAAAATATTTTGAGTGAAGATTTGTATTCAGAGTTTTTCACATTTTAATGAATGTGTTCTCAATAGCTCATTCAGGAATTATTAAAACAGGCTCCAGGTATTTGGATTGAGATTTCAAAGGAAGAAGTGAACAGCTTGTTGCTTGAAGATAGGTTGGCTGAGGGCAAGTCAAGATTTAACATCTTAAAGGAACAGTCATTTGCGAAAATGCAATTATGTGACTTCAAACTCCCAAACTACTGATTCCAAATAGTCGGCTGTGAG